AGTTATCTGTTGTATTTATCCCTGAAGATCCATCAACTTCCACAGTGCGTGGCACTCAAACATTTTTTTTTTCCAACAAAAGAGTCAATGAATGTAAGTACTAGAAAGTAGAGAAAAGAGTTAGAGAACTTTAGTGAACACCTTTAGGGCACAGGAAGAAAAAGTGGGAAAGTCAAGTAGAAAGACAAAGAACCAAGAGAAGCCAGGGCACAATAGCTAAGGGAGAGGGGAGATTCAAGGTGGGGTGGTCATAGGGATTGATTCTGCGGATGGAGGAATAACGTGAATAGCTGACATTAATTGAGTGCTTTTTGTGTGCCTAAGACTTGGCATGGATTAACTCAGTTAATCTTCACAATAACTTTGGTAGGAATTATTTGATAGGAATCCTTATTATAGAGATAATACAGGTGAGAATAGACACCAGAAATATTAGATACTTAGCCCAAAAACAAACAAGTGGAGGAGCCATGAGTCAAACCAGGCCATCTGGTTCCAGAGCAAGGAGTCTTAACCACCCTGCAGCCACACCAGCTCCTGCTAGCAACGGGACAGAAGATAGTTTAGTGGGCTAAGGAGTGTGGTATTAAAGATGCAAAAGCAAAAGGAGGACCAGCTGCTCTTTGTAGTCTTTAGTCATAAAGAGAGGATGGCAATGCCTATGATTCTGAGTTAGGCTATTTCCACATTAGGTCCCCAAATCTACAGAAGTTACAAGAGCACTCATGTATCGCCAGCCATGAAAACCTGAGGAAAATGCTCTTATTTCAGGAACAGGTAGTTTTTGATCATGTCTTCAGGGTACTCTATCAGCTGCCTTGACATTGACTTTGACGTTGACTTTTTTACTACATTCCAGTGTTGTTATTGACTTAAATTAGTCCTTGAGCGAGAAGGAAGAAAGAATCTGACTTTGGCAATAAAAAGCCTTGCAGTATTCCAACTTGCTTTTTCAGTTTTAAATAGTTCTGTGAATCATTCCTGTTTCCTTTTTTTTACAAGTGGGGAAGTAAAGTCCTGCCAGAGCTAGACGGAAAGGCACCTGTATTTGCATTTTAACCTGAGTTTTGAATAGCAAATGCACAGGTACAAGATCCACCAGCAACAGCAAGATCAGCCAGACATTCTGGAAATGTGCACCTGAATGATGAACTGGACCAACTGGTGTCTGTCATGTTGCAGAATGTCGCTCACTCTTAAAGCTCACACATGTTAAGTTGTTGGCAGATTTATCAATTCTTTTAATTAAAGGACTAGGATGATGATATGAGTAACGGAACTATTTTGTTCCTAATTGATGCAAATCTTAAAAATACGTGACTAAAATCTGTTCCCAGAAGTTCTCATTACAGAAGCCTTTTAATTTGTTTTAAGATATATGCATATACATTTCTCTTTTTGTTCCTTCAGATTTCTTAATCGATGGTGATTTTTCCTAACCCAAACTCTAACTGCAATGGTCAGCTTTCCACATATGGGGATAGAATTTTTTTTTAAGCCTTCCACTCTGAAAGTAGGGGTCTTGGCCTCACAAGGACAACTCAGCACCCTGGCCTCACAAGGACGACTCAGCCCCCTTTCCAGATGCTGGCAATCCAATAGAAGAGCACAGAGGAGATGAAGCTCTTTTTAATATTTTTTATCACTTTTTCAAAAGTTAATTCTCTCTTGGAATTTATTCTTTAAAAAAAAAAAAAAAAAAAAAAAAGGGCCCCTTACAGCATCAGAATAGTGTCTTACTTTATCCAATACTTCAGGTTAGACCACACAGCCTGACTTTGTCTGACCTATAAAATTGCCCAGTTCTCTTAGGCCTGTTCATGGGCAGGGAAAAAGACTGCAAGTACAAAACATACGGTTCAGGTTGAATATTGCAAGAAAAATATAAGAAAAAGTATTTCATTTTTTTAAAAAACTTCTTAACAATTTATGAATGCTTTGCTGAGGAAAATGCTTTTCAGAGGTTGAATATTGCGTGACAATATAAGAAAAACATTTTTTTTTTTTTTAAAAAAAAGCTTTTTAACAAGCAGAATTAATTCATGGATACTCTGCAGAGGAAAATCATGGTGTCAGGAATGCTTTTAAGCTTGACCACTCCTAACTTGAATAAATGATTCTGGGTGCCTGTTAGGAACATTCACAGTATTGTCAGAGTCTTATTACAACGTGCTTTTGAAGCCAGCTTACTGCTTTGGAGGAAACATTGACAAATGGGTGCTTTGGGCTGCGCAGGTCATAAGACTGTGTTTTTGCCAATTGAAAATTCCTGTGTTGTCAGCCATCCAGGCCATACTCCTTGGTATCCACAAACCCAGAGCTTCTAAAGGAATTGGGATTTGCCAAAATGACACTGGTAAGCAGGCCAGCAATACAGTTCTATTTTTGTTGGCTAATTTAGTGACATTTGTTTTCAGAAGTGTAATTCTAGGAATGTTTACTTCAAGCTCACACCTGTTGTCTCTTGAGCGAGTGTGAGGGATATGTTACCGTGAATTATAATCATAGTGATAAGAGCTAGCAATTAATTAAACACTTTATGCTGGGGACTTTTCTAAGCACTTGACTTGCATTGCCACATTTAAATTTACAAGCACCCTATATGATAGGTAATATTGTCAGCATTTTACAGATGAAGAAACTGAGACACAAGGAGATGACGTGACCTGCCTAAGGTCATAGAGTCCATGCTCTTCATCGCCCATCCCCCATGTCCTTATCCAAGTCTCTCTGAGAAAGGAAGCACTAGCACTGATAAATATGAGTAGGGAAATTAGCATCTGCAGATGGTCATTCATTGTGAAGAGTTGTTGAAGCTATCTGGGTGGGTACTGTTCCCAAGCCATCATTTCAGTATGATTGAGAATTAGAAAGGTTAAGGCCCTTCTACCACTTACTTCTGTCTGCCAAGAAAGCATCCAACATCTGTTAGTGTCTTCTTTTAAGAGTCTGGCCCTCAGTGCTCCTGATGTAAAACAGTCTTTCTCTCTCCCATGGTCTGTGCTACCGTATGGCGCAGTGAGGCACTGATACACCTCCATAGAGAACCAACCAAAGGGTCTGGTACTCAAGCATTGGATCGGTGGTAAGAAGCATTTCCCATCACCCCTCCCTTCCTCCTCCAATCTTGACATCACTCCTCCTTCGATTAGGAAGGCTGGTTCCACATTGTTATCAGGCCACTCTTAGATCACTTGGGTTAGAAAATCCCACAGCCAACACCTCTTAAGTGATAAGATTCTACTCTCAGCTCCTGCCTGACTCCCTTCTGAACTTGACTTTTTGAGAGAAGAAGCGTGAACCCTCTGGAATAATTGATACTCATTTGCAGCGCACTCTTAGTTCTCATTGATGGCAAAGATGCCTGTAATGCAGAATAACCATATTTTTCGAAGGCCACATGCCATAGTTCACAAAGCCTTTTCTCAGGTGGCATCCATGAAGTGGCAGCCACAGGTAACTGAATCTTCAGGCCTGATCCCCTCTTTCGTATATCATAAATATCAAAAGGCAGTTGGGCTGAGCAAGAACAAGAAGCATAAGAAATTCTGGATTATTTTATCCCTAAACAATGATCTATAGGCTATGATCCTTCAAGGTGTTTCCTAGCTAAAGTATAGGAACAGCTTCTCATGTTGGTTCAGAGACAGCTGTTCTGACAACCAGGGTTGTCTTACTTTTCTGCGCAGCTTTGGGTGAGAAATACCAGGTATTAAGAAGTCCGTTGTAGGGGAGAATCATACAAAGTAGTAGAAAAAGAACTTTATCATAGAGGAAAACACCCCGTTTGCAGGCATTCTTCCTGAACACTGAAAAGGTCCTGAGTGTCAAAGCCCCACCTATACCCTGAAGCCATCTCAACAGACTCGGACCTAGACCTTGTCTCCTGTCATTTTCTTTTCAGAGCATTGCCATCTCTTTTGTCTGGCTGCATCCAACTATTTTTAATTCCCTTGCCTTCCTACTGTCTGCTGAGTGGATAATTAAACATGAAGTACTATGCTTTGTTGAGATTATGTTTTTAAAGGACTTGCGACAGGAAACTGAACGGCACCTTCGAAAGACGCACTTTGAGGGCCGGGTGCGGTGGCTCACACCTGTAATCTCAGCACTTTGGGAGGCCGAGGCAGGCAGATCACGGGGTCATGAGTTCAAGACCAGCCTGGCCAACGTGGCGAAACCCTATCTCTACCAAAAATACAAAAAGTATCCAGGCACGGTGGCGGGTACCTGTAGTCCCAGCTACTCGGGAGGCTGAGGCAGGAGAATCGTTTAAACCCAGGAGGCGAAGGTTGCAGTGAGCAGTGCATTCCAGCCTGGGCGACAGGGCGAGACTCTGTCTCAAAAAAAAAAAAAAAAAAAGAAAAGAAAAAGGTTTTGAGAAGAAAACCACTAGCTTCCAACAAATTTAAGATTATGAGAACAGAATTCAGACAAAGACACATTCTAGCTGTGTCTTCATGCTGAGAAAGATACAAGCTTGTAGAAACTATTGGTTGTTGGTTTCTCTGCTTTACTACTTAAGAGTGTGGACCCTGGAGTTGACTGCTTGGGTCTCTGTCACTTATGTGCTGTGTGATATTGAGCAGATTACCTTGTCTCTCTGTGCCTCCAGTTTTTCATTTGTAAAACAGAGACAATAGTAGTACCTAGCTTATAGAGTTGTTGAGAAGATTGAATGCAAATGAGCTTTGTAACACTGACACATGGAAAGCACTCAATCCGTGCTATTAGCGAAACTTTTATGGAGGGTTGAGAAAACATGTGCTTGTTTCAGATTTGCATAAAATTCCCATCTTGGAGCCATTATGATAATCCTTCCTGCATGTGGCCTAATAATAACCTCAAGTGATTTTATTTTGATTCTTCATCTCTCAGCCACCCCCCTGGGAGGAATAACAGGAGCTGTGTGTCTGTATATCTAGAGCTCTCTGATAATGAGTAGATGAGACGAACAGACCTTTGGGTTGACTGGCTTCCTGGTTCTTTTTCTCATTCAGGTGCTGGAAAGCTTCAAGATCATGGACTATAGCCTTCTGTTGGGAATTCATTTCCTGGACCATTCCCTCAAAGAGAAAGAGGAGGAGACCTCACAAAATGTGCCTGATGCTAAGCGGCCTGGGATGCAGAAGGTTCTCTACTCAACAGCCATGGAATCTATCCAGGGTCCAGGGAAATCTGGAGATGGGATAATCACAGAGAACCCAGACACGTAAGTACAGCCACACACCCACCCACCCTCTTGATTGTGGTAGCCCACGTCACTGGGTAATTATAGACAGTCACATTCACCTTAGGGTGGGACTCCAGGAACTAATTTCTACGTGGTGCTAAAATGGGTTAAACTGGTCTCCATTTCTATTCATTTAAAGACAACTAGATGAGTGGCAGTTCCTCCAGTTATTACTCCTTCACCCACTTGGTTTCTTTTTTCAAATGGCTCCATTTTTTTTTTTAAACAATGGCTGAAAATGTTTTTGTCCCCATTAACTACATATTCAAAACATTCACCACAAGAGGAAAGAATAAACTTTGAATTTGAATAAACATGTTTTATTATTTATTTTTTATTTTTTTGAGACAGAGTCTCCCTGTGTCACCCAGGCTGGGGGGCAGTGGTGCCATCTCAGTCCACTGCAACCTCCACCTCCCAGGTTCAAGCGATTCTCCTGCCTCAGCCTCCAAAGTAACTGGAATTACAAACATGCACCACTACATCTGGCTAATTTTTGTATTTTTAGTAGAGATGGAGTTTCACCATGTTGCCCAGGCTGGTCTCACACTCTTGGCCTCATGTGATCCACCTGCCTTGGCTTCCCAAAGTTCTGCGATTATAGGTATGAGCCACTGAGCCCAGCCTGAATAAAGATGTTTTAAGCAAATACACAATGAGAATGATGTTTGCAATTCAGAGCTTTTTATCTGCCTAAGGGGATTCTGTTGT